CCGTTCGCCTGGGCACGCAGGAATGCAGACAGATCACCAGCTTCTGAATCCCTCAAGGCTGGTGATATTTGCTTCTTGACAACATCAGAGAGCCAGAAAGAAACCTTGCAGGATGCTCTTAATGTTCCTTTTAAAATCAATTAGAGGGACCAGCAGTTAGGTAATGGCTATGTCGATGGACTCCCATACCGAGGTTTGAGTCCTGGGCCTGGTGGCTTAAACTCACACCAGGGGCGTGTGCATGTGTGCCGAAGATCCCGAGAGGAGAATGGAGGAGAAGGGATTATAGCGTGGCCATCCCTCCTAGGGGGTGATTTCTCACTTCCTGTCTCTCTGTGTCTCTCTGTCTTTTTGGCGAGTGCAAGCACCCTACAGCAAAAACCTCTCCATAAAAAGAGAAAAAAAAATAAAAGCAATTAGAACCAAGAAACAAAGGAAAAGAATGAAGAGGGGACACTCACCAGGAGGGCCTCTCAGTAAGAAGCCCTTGTGCCATTTGGGGCTCCAGGGAGAGTTGCCTGTGGGCCACTTTGGGCAGCATCCATCCCACTGAAACAAGAGGTGCTGAAGGGACAAGATGAGAGTAAGTGTCCTGGTCTGAACATTCACAACCCACTCCTCACTGTGGGAATGAGAGCTGGGGCAGTTAAGGGGCAGCAGGGGATCTGATAGGATGGGTGGACCGACCCTCTGACCTGGACAGAGGTCATGGGGAGGAAGGATGGGCTGAAGGAGGCTCAGAAACTGGTCAGGGACTGCAACTCAATCAGCCAAGAGGCTTGGTCTCCCAGGCCAGGCTGGGACTCTGGGGTTCTGGGGCTCTGGGACAGGAGCCTTAGGAGCCACATGGTGCCTTCCGAGGCCACAGTAGGACACTTTGACTTCAGCAGCAGCCAAATAAACACCTTTTTAGGCTTTTTGAGGACTAAAATAAGCCTCAAACGTTTTGACTAAACCCCAAAACGTGTGACTTTCTGGATTCAAAAGGCACAGGGTAGGCCAGCAGGTGGGGCGGCTGGGATGGCCCTGGATCCCACTTGGTCAACTCTGCGGTTCAGTGGCAAACTTGCTTGAAAAACACGCTAGGAGCCTGCGTCCCTCGGACATTTCCAGAGGGGAATGAAGAGGGCATTGCTGCATGACCATACCCGCCCCCCACCCCCAAGAAGCTGATTTCTCACTTTCTCTGCTTTTTTTCCAGAGAGCACACCCACCCACCCTGTGCATTAAGAAAGGCACATGTCTGGGAGAGTGATGTCGCCACTGGGTGCAAGGGGACAGGGCACAGGACTGCCAGGCTGCTAGCACTAAGGAGCAGTTCCCCACCTGGAGCGTGCTTCAGAGCCCCCTCCACTCTCCCAGGATGGCCCTGCATGTCCCATGAGCGCCCTCCCAATCCGCGTTGTGATCCTCTCATCCCCACTCCCCCAAGCCCCAAACCTCCATTTCCAAAAGGGCGCCGCCGCCGACCACCGCCCTCTGAAGACATCCCGGTCCCACACGCCCCCCTGACTGGGCGCTCACTTGCCCGTAGGACCCGCTGGGCCCAACTGTCACCTTCGCCACACTCATGGCCTCCAGCGCCGCCACGACCTGCAGCCGCCTAAGAAGAACGCCGCCTCTCCCGCTCCGCTCCATTAAGAAGTGGCCTCGGTACCGGTCGCGCTCTGCCCACGTTGATTGGTAGAGTCCGAGGGGGCGGGTCAGAGTCCAACTTCAGGGGGCGGAGCCTGGGTGGGGCCTGTTCCCTCCGGGTGACGCTGGTCTGTGGGACCCTCTGTGACTGCGTCCTGCGCAACCCCGCCCGCTCCCAGATCTCCTTGCGTCCGCGTCGCTGGGCCAATCAGCAAGCGCGGGGCGGGATCGTTGCCACGGCGACCTTTGTGGACGCTGAGACCTGATGGTCACCTCTCCAAATAGCCCATAGGCCCTGAATTAGCAGTAAGGCGAAAGGTGGGCCTTGCCAATGGTGAGCGGGACTGGCCGATGGGGTGGCAGCGACGGCTTTGACCTGGGGGACTGCGCTCTGGTCCTGGTTTTGAGAAGTGACCCTGTGGGACCTGCGACGCCACCGTCCCTGTCACTGGGGGCGAGCTCAGAGCGGGAAGTGGGGCCAGTGCTGGGCCCTAACCTGACCACCACCCAGTCCCGCGGTCCCCGCCTGCCAGTGGATCCTGGGGTTGTTTCACAGGGGAGTCACCCGCAGCCCAGTAACACTCGGAGACCTTTTAAGCCTGATTTCATGCGGTGACCAGGGCTGTAGCAGTGCCTGGGTCCTGGGTTCCACTCCCTGACGACCTGGCATGCTCCAGCCTCACAGTCTGGCTTAAGTCCTCCCTGGCTGTGTCTAAAAGGAGAATCTTGCATGAAACATCTGCAGTGGTGATAGCACATTCTATTAAGTCTGAAAAAACAATACCAAGTCATTGGGTTTTACTAACGTTTTTAGATATAGAAATTTGGAAACTTCCTTTCAATTCTTATTTTCATTTTCTACAACGTCCTGATTGTGCTGTTATTTGAGAAGCCTACAAGAAGATCACTATCCTTGGAAGGTGTTGCTACTGGCTAGGGCTATTGTAGACCATGCCCTGAGCCAGCAGTTCTCAATCAGAGCTGATTTTGTCCCCCAGGAGACATTGGGCAGTGTCCAAAGACTTGGTTGTTGCTACTAGAGAGGGAGGGTGCTAATAGAAACCTAGTGGGTGGAGACCAGGGACACTGTTAAACATGGTAGGAATCATAAGACAGTCTCTGAGACTAAACCCCACATGTGCAAGGGACAAGGCTGGGAAACCCCACCTTAGAACTTGGCTGTTGGTCCTGGGAGCCCAGCATGAGGCTAGGATATTAGCCTGTGAGAAGAAGGAGGGATTTTCTCTGGAATGGGGACAGTGAAACCCATGATAACATCTTTTGCTGCATCATTGTGTCACCAGGCAGTACATGAAGCCCTGTGTGTTGAAGTTATCTAATTTAACTCCCATGAGAGTGATACTGAGGTGGGTAGTGTCTGCATTTCATGGGTTAAGTTCAGAGGGCTCAGGAGCTACTGCACTTAGGTGGTTGTGTGTGTGTGGGAGGGGCTGATCTGATCCTGAGTCAGCCAGCCCAACTGTGGAAACCAGAAGCTTTATCTGCTCAGATGAAGTACAATTCTCCTGAACCCATTTCTTTCCATAGAGAGGCCATTCCTGTAGATTAAGCCTCATAACTAGGCTCTGGTCTTGATCAGTTTAGTCTTCCAGGTCTTCTACACATCACAATGCTGTTTTCTGCAAACCTAGACCTTTCACTATGTCCTTACCTTCAGGATACAGTCCAACTTCTTTATCATTACCTGGGAAACGGGGACTCAGATTCAATACATTTTGGTAAGGATGTCCAGCGTATTCAGGGCTGAGTAAGAGAAGAATCACAAACTAACTGCAGTATGTTAGTTACTAATGATCTCCAGTGGAAGTGTATCTCCAGGATAGCATCAATAAAGTTTCTTTCTTGGGGACCAGCAGTTGGGGTAATGGCTATGTCACTGGACTCCCATGTAGTCAACCACATTTCGAGTCC